CCCCCCCCCCCCCCCCCCCCGGCCTGATTTTAGCCTCGCTCTGCAGTTTCCCTCTCCCTGGTTGTGTTTCCGTCTCCACCTGTCAGCTCGGGGCTGTTTCTCTGATGGATCTTCGTTCTAATTAGCTATCATCGCTCCACTTCCTGCCTTCACACACACACACATGTTCACAGCCAGCCTGTGCGTGTAACAGCGCGGCTGCACACGGTTTATTTACATGACAGAGACGCTCCAGAGGCGCAGCTACAACCTCACAGAGACGTGTGGAAACTGTTTGTTTGTTTTCATGATTTAATTGAAGTTGGAGGCCTGAGCTGAGTGCCAGCCGTCCGCCTGAGCCCCGGGTCGTGCTGGAAACAACTCATCTCAGCACTTTTTGCTGCTTTCTCTCACTTCATCCATCGTCCTTCCTCCCTAAAGTCACGTCTCGTTTCTTTACTCGTTCACTTTGGACTTTCTGAGTCAACTGAGCTGAAAGTAACGTTTGATTTTTACTGAAGATTTTCTGCACGTCTGTGGTTTCGATGCTGCGGGTTAGCGGCGGGTTCTGGTCCACTTTTATTGTCTCGATGAATTTTTAATGAATGATTCTCAGAGTCTGAACTTTTTAAATAAAGAGAAAAACACAACAGCTCTTTTATTTTTTTCTGCTAAACGTCTGATTCTTCCTCCAAATCTCATCCGGTCAGCTCTTTCTTTTGTCTTTCGCTTCGTTTTATTCACGTTTCATGTTAAATTACTTTTGTTTTCTCATCTTTCTCCCCGTTCTGTTCCACTTTGGTCATTTCTCGACGAGTTTAAACTGTTTCATTTTTCACCAGGGGCGTGTCTAGAATCTGACCTGTAGGGGTGCTCAGCCCCCAGTGCTGACAATGGTTCTTCGCTTGAACAACGCGGTGGCCATTGGTATCAGAAGCATTTGTAAGGGGGGGGGGGAGTCTTCCCCCAGAAGATTTTGAATAAAGTATATGCCATTCTGGTGTATTTTAACAGGTTTTTAAACATCTAGTTTTACCTACACAAGTAAACACTTAATTCAGTAACTACTTCAGAGAGAAACAAGAAGTAGCATTAAGCTAACGGTGCTCAATACAGATGTGCTAGCTAAGATGCTACAGACGTAGCGCTCCACTTTACATTACACAACCTAATAAAGTAACAAGTTTAGTGTAGAGTGATCATAGCAAACAAAAACTAAACTTATGCACCCAGAAGTTTCAACATGTATCTACATATAAAACACACAAAACAAAGCACAGCTCACTTTAAGCATTAACCTTTAATTTAAACATTAAACAGACAGTGTAATTATGACAGAATGGGGGAGTTACCTTTGTACACATGAACACGTGGTACTTCCTGTTTATAATATTCAGCTGCTCATGAGGTCAGTGCAGAGCTTTTTTACATCTTTTACATTCTTTCAAACTCAGTTTAGTTTGTGAAATGTAATAAAACGTGTCCCACTCTCTAAACAAACAGTCAGCTGCCTGAAGTTATTTATGTTTTTGATGTTTAACTTTTTTTTGTTGGATGATTTTTCACAAATCCCTCTGACTGCAAAGTGTTCAAAATGCAAAACCCCAACAATGTAGTCGGAGGAAAAAGGGGGTGGAGCTCCTGCAGGTAAGGGGCGTTTACCTTCGGGACAAATTGAGGTCGCTGATTGGTCAGTTGCTGACGAGCCAACTGGATGGCGTCGAGGATCCGACTCATACGAAACAAATCATAAATTTTACTGGTTTCTTTATTGTTCAGCGGTGCTGAGTTAAAATTCAGGGGTGCTTGAACACCCCCACAACGAGGTTAAACCATCACTGATGCCCCCTCACTTCTCCTCTGCTCCTTTCTTTACTATCCCTCACTTCTCCT